CCACACGAATACAGTTTAATCGCCATGGAGCCAAAGTCTTTACAGTCAGTTTCATACGAATGGGCTCCATGGGATTCCTATCTGGGGTATAACACATTCAAACAAATCTACTGAAACCCAGGCAGAAAAGCACGAATACAGCTTTTCTGCATGCAAAAATAAAGTCTTTTAAAAGGGGGCCATAGTCCAAAGGCAGCAGGCGAGCAACCAGGCTTCTCCAATGCAATGTGGCGAGATTGGTCTTGTCACAAGTAATGTTACCTTTGAGACCGTGTGGTAACCCAGGAATGAGAATTGTAGATTATGCTAGCTTTAGTGCACCTATAATCTGAATTTTATTAATGACAGGAGGAGAGTATTTGCTTAAGTCTCTCTTTACTACTCCACAGCAGAGAAAAACAACCAATCAGAAAAAGTTAGGTACTATAAAACGCCCTTCCTCATACATCATTTCCTCTTTCAAGCTGCAACAAACAAAAAAAAAAAAAAAAAAAAGGGAAGAATATAATGAAAAAAAAAAAAATTTAAAAAAATAAAAGAACAAAGTCCTAGATACAATGAATACAAAAACATCCACCATCCGAGAAGAACTGTCAAACCAGATGGCGTTGGACTAAGCTGAAACGAGAGAAAAACAGAATCGAACAGGTTGGTTAGCCAATAAAATGTATGCTGAACAAGACAAGTAGGCCCCTAGTGAGATAACCAGAAATACCATAATATACAGAGATCCCAACCCTTACTTAGGAAAACGGACATAAGAACAAGTGACAGGTAGCAGAGACAACAGGCAGAGTTGCATACCTACCTGATGAACCCAAACTATAAAAATGTAAACAAGGGAGGGAAATATTTGCGCCTGTCAATAATAAAATGAAGAATATGCTAGCTTTAGTGTACCTATAACCTACAATTTTATATGACAGGAGGCTTCATATTTGCCGTTTTAACGCTCAGTCAACAAATCTAAAGATTTGTTTCGCTGGTACCTCTTCCGTGAGATAACCAGAGCAATACCAAATGGACCTTCCAATTGCGAGAAGTGACAGCAGATGAATCGATGAAGATGCCAGCTGCTGAAGTACCCTCAATTAAGGAAAACACCCACCCAATTCGCTGTTAGATCCACTGTACACGGGATTTTGACCCATATCCTGGAATACTGTTCATGAATTGCAAGGCCAATCCATTGACCATTTCCCGCAGGTGCAAATTCCAAAGATCATATGTGGGCTTGGAACCGCGAGAAAAACTGCCACCAGGCCTCGACCCTTGATGTGGAAAATGGCTCCTCCGTTCGAGCCAGGGTTACCAGGTGATGTAGCCGTGCAGGCAAACCTCCAACCTCAAGTAATGCATCTGAGGCCACCACCATTTCCGTAACACCAATACCGTAACGTTCCTTCATGCCCTACCAGGCGAGTGGACTCTTCCGAAAATTTATCTATTATGCTGGAAAGAGTGCGGGCCAAACTCGTCATATACAAAGTGTTTCCAGTACTCCAATTGGACTGCGGAACCTGCGACTGTGGTAGGCAAAGTACTCCCAAGGGACGTCCAATCAGGGTTCCAAACTGAATTTGTGTAGCGAAATGGTGATCCACTACTCATGGAGATTGTGAAACCTAGAAATACCAAAATGGAGGGAATGTAAATAGAAGTCCAGATATCCATCCATGAGTATCCTCGTCAAGGAGTAAAAAAAAAAAAAAAAAAAAAAAAAAAAAAAAAAAAAAAAAAAAAGGGGTCCGTATCCTAGGGGTAATTGTGACCAGCATAAACGAAGAGTCATCACATGTCGTAGCCGTGTGGTGTACCACAAAGGAGTCAAAGGTGGTTCGAAGATTAGACAGGCTGGATAACCCCCCCCCCAAAAAAAAAAAAAAAAAAAAAAGTCTTGGTGAGCGGGTCTGGATCAGGATTTCCGACAGTGAGCCTGTCGACTGATTAGGGAGAGAGAATGGAAGGACCTGAATAACTGCATGGATGATTCCACTCCAATCCAGCCCTGCCAGAAGCCCATGGATGGACTTATGGTGTGCCCGTCTCACCAGAGTAGGCCTTAGGTAGGCCAAGGTATAGGAATTCGGGATCTGAAGTCTCCCTATGAAGCAAACCCCCCTCCCCCATTTTTGTCAAGTGTCCCGTGAACTAATAGCGTTCTCTAATATGTAGGTAAATGTAAAGTCCCTTCGCTAATGACAGCTGACTCCGCATGATAGCTATAGCACAAAAAAAAAAAAAAAAAAAAATTAAAAAAAAAAAAAAACCACACACACCACTGTCCGAGCAGTTAGCCTCTAATGGTGTGTATAAACAGAGTGTGGTTGTTAGTTTGATACAATGCATAGTATGCCAAAAACCTACACATCTGCAGTAACATTGGCTCACACATTAGCGGTACAATATATAGGAGTATATCCCATAGGGGAGGTATAGGGACACCAAAAATTTGGGCCAATCTTAGAAGCTGCACCCGAGACAGCCAGTTCAAAACAGCCCATACCCTGTCCAATAAGGTATCAGGGAAACGTGAAAACAAGGTGGGGAATCTTTTCCAGTAGTACCTCAGTGAGTAATTCCTGAGTGATGATACAGTGTCAGTGGTCCAGCAGACCAATTTTAGGGGATGTAACAGTGAACGTTAGTTTAAACATGCAATACCCTGTCCGATCAGGTAGTCCTCTATAACGGAAATAGTAGCACAGTCGTTATCTCTACTGAAGAGATTCCCTCCTCTTCCCCGGTCGCTACGAAGCAGCATCTCCTCGACATTCTGGTGAGGGAGCCATTGCCCCTATAGCAAGAGCTGTAGCATCAGCAGCAAAACATGGAACGTAGCACAGACCTCCAAATTAAGTTGAATGTAGGCGGGACGCCCCTCTACAAAGACAATTGTCCTGTACTGGCATATGCCTGTAAGATGAACCCATGTCGACGGTAGCAGGATAAATAACCCTGTTGGGCAGTGTCAAGAGACGGGTCTGCCCTCCAAAGAGGGAAGCGGAGTCCAGTACGGTTAGAAACTGCCACGTCCCCGGAAAACTGAGGGAACAGCATAGGTAGTCATCGAGGTATGTGTACAGGAGGGGAGCTCAGTAGCGGGTTGAGTGTATGAGAGAGCCGCAATCTAATTATGTAGACGATATCCCTGCCAGTATCAGGCTGACAGTAGAGAGGGCCGTACCCGCTAATAATGAAATCAATGCCTATATCAGGGTCTGGCCCTGTATACCATCGTGGGTCACACTCAAAACCTGCAATTTGCATCAATACCGGCATCGGGCTGAGGTTATGGGAGGGTCGCACCCTCTTATACTACAAACTAGAGTCCACAGCAGTCAGACGGACTGTATTTGAGGGGTTCACCCCTTAATAAGAGCCGAGTTGGGCAGGGTTCCTGAGACCCTGAAGTCACTCTCTGTATCCAACTGAGAATAAAACCATACTGATAATAGACCAAGAAACAATAGCTAGAAAAATACGAAATCTACAAACGGCTGCCTGTATCCCACGCAAGTGCGCGGGATCCAGGATGGCCGCCAGTAGCCTGAAGAAATGCTGGAGACGTTCGT